AGCACATGTTACTGTCATGGCTGCCGAAATGGGGGGCTGGTCCCTTCATATACAGTTAATATATATATTACAGCATAACAATATATACTATATATATATATATATATATAATGTAACATATATAGCTACCTTATATATATAATACAATATAACAATGACTTGAAACTAGAAAATAAGGGAGCTGGGGTTGTAACTCAGTTTGGAAAGTGTTTGCTAAGCATGTATAAAACCCTGAGTCAGTGCTCAGCACCCCAGAAATAGGTATGGTGCCATATGCCGCTTATCCTAGCACTAGGGAGCTGGAGGAGGTAGAAGCAGGTAGATCAGATATTCAAGGTTATCCTTGGCTATATAGTGAGGACAAGGCCAGCCTGGGCTACACTCATGTACACCCATCTTTAAAAGAAAATAAAAAGCAGAATATAAGAATCCAAACCAACAACTTTTAGTTAAGTAACCCACACTCTCTCTCAACCATATTCTTTCCTGGGCCACGAGTAGTTCTACATTCAACCTTTTGGACTCAGCTGCAGGGTCATCTTTTGCTTCTCTCTGCTGATGGCCTTCTTGTAATGCCATATCACCTTGTCCCATCCTTCATATTATAGTCCCATGGCTATAGTCTAAGGTCAGCGGCTCCATCCTGGTGTTCTTGCTTGGCACTGGTCTCTGGCCGGCTTCTGGCCAGATTGCGTCACCAAAGCTCTGGTGTGTGGCCATCAGTGGCTTTCCATCCTCTACACAACAAGGGCGAAAGTCCTGGACCTGGCCTGCCATAACCCAGCTCAGGATGCAGTTCTAGCTCTATTCCCCAGCTCAGGACGCAGTTCTAGCTCTAACCCCTGCTAATTCCCTTCACCCACTCTTGGTTGCAGCTGAACAGAATCACCCATTCTCCCCGCCCACGCCATGGCCTTTGCTAATCTGAACACGGTTTCTGGGCAACTGATTGCAGCAAGGATCTCCGTTGGCATAGGGCCCAGCTCTTGGCTAATGGTTTTGTGTTGGCTTGATTTCTCTGAGTAATTTATTTAGGAACATACCCAAAGGGATTAGGGTAAGGGAAGTGAAGCAGGTATGAAGGGAGGGCCAGGACAAAGACTTGCCCTCCAGTCTACTCTCGCTATGGCTGACTGGTTACTTCACCTATGGGATCTTCTAAGAGGCATTGGGAAATATGTCTGAATGGTGTTTATCTGGAGACAGATAAATATGTCTGTCCCCTTTCCCATCGGTTACAAGTTAACCTACGGAGTCCTGGAAATATATATTCAAAACATGAAATAAAGTGAGTGACAGCTTTATTTATGCAGACTAGTGAAAAACTGGAATCAGCCCAAACCCAAACATCCTTCAAGAAGAAAATGGTCACCCACCATCAAAAGGATAAAATAGTGTTATACGCTATTTTATACATGTGAGCCTTGCAGATGTAATGTTAAATGAAAGAAGCCAAACACCAAAAAGTGTATGCACAATCCCATTTACATGTGGTTCAGGGCCAGAACTCATCCATGGTGACAGAGGGAGGAACATGCTTACATCTGGAAGGGGAATGCTGGTGGGAGGGTGTCTGTTTGTTGTTATTTTGTGTCCGTTTGGTGATGGATCCAAAGGCCTCATGCTAGGTGAGCTCTCTGCCATTGAGCTGTATCCCCAACTCTGTTTTCAGTGTTTACTTTGAGACAAGGTCTTACTAAGTTTCCCAGGCAGGCGTTTAACTCACACCACCCCAGACCAGTCTTGAGTTTTCAATCCTCATGTGTGTGTGTATGTGTGTGTATATGTGTGTGTGAGTATGTATGTGTGAATATGCATGTATATATATGTATGAATATGTGTGTATGTGTGTGTATGTATGTATATGTGTGTATGTGTGTATATGCATGTATGTATGTGTGTGTGTGTGTGTATGTATATGTGTGGGGTTGTGTGAGTGTGTGAGTGTGTGTGTGTGTGTGTGTGTGTGTGTGTGTGTGTGTGTGTGTGTAGGTGCATGTACACCTATATACACATTCATTTGGAGGCTAGAAGACCATCTCAGGAGGCACCCTCAGAGACATTGTCCACTTTCTTTGAGACAGGGTCTCTTGTTCACCTGGAGCTCACCAATTAGGCTAGCCTGGCTGTCCAGTCAGTCACAAGGATCCTTTTATCTTTGTCTCTTCAGCTCTGGGATGGCAAGCGCACACCACCACACCTGACATTTTTCTGTGGGTCCTTAAGCCCATCTCATCTCGGAGGCAAGCACCCGGCCCACTGAGCCATCTCCCTAGTGCTGCATGAAGATCTTCCTAAAGTGAAAATATTGAGGGCCGGGCAATATCATATCCTAATGTATCTGGTTAAAACAGAGCCCTTTGAGACACGGTTAGCACACTTTCTTGTCTCTCTGTCTGCCTTGGAGACAGACTGTCCACCGCATGAGTATAACAAAGCTCATAGCTGGTTTCACACTTTTCCCATCTCGGCCCAAGCCCTGCACCCTCTGCTAAGTTTGGTATATGAACATCTCGTTCTGGCTGTTCAGTGAGCTACTAATAATGAGCACACCCAAGTGCATTTCTAATTAGTTTGTCCTTTTCTCGGGTGCTATGCACGCCCCGCTCCAAGACCCAAATTGGGAGGAGAAGGTATCTGCACAAGAAACCCAGACCGACTCAGCTGTGGCCTGTGGAACCAGGGATCAGCTCCATGCCTAGCACACGGAGGCTTTGCACTTCCAGGACATTTGTGCTGAGTCAATTAGGCCCGTGTCCCAAGTCAGAATCACCCTCTACAATTTGCTCCGGTTTTGTGGGGGATGAGGGTGGAAGAGCTGATCCTAAGTGGTGCTGGTGGCTATAGGATCCTTCCTGATGTGCAGGCTCAGAGTCCGACCTGCTCCCTGACCCCGCTCGGACATCTCCCATCCATCAAGGTGGACTGATATCTGGTTCTACTTCCAAAACATGCCGCTCATCAGAGAGCTTTCGCAGGCCTTTCCTTCCCCACCATCCCAAGTCACACACTGGGGCAAAAGCCCCCAAACTCCTAGTCTTGACAATGTTCTTAACACAGCTGCCAGGGTCCCATGGCCTGGTCTTCTAAACCCCAAATAGGACCCATCACTCTGCTTAGAGTTCTCTGGGGACACCTTCCAGCTCATTGCTTGTCAGGTTAAAAGTGATAGGGTGCCATTGTCTCAGACAAGGCTCCCAAGCAAGGCCAGAGCCAGGCCAACAGACCAAAGTCTCACACCCCTGAACTTAAAAATCAGAAGTCAATTGCCAGATTTTGAGAACAGGCAATGAAGTTCCTTCTGCTTAGCTCTTACCAAAAAGAAAACAAACAAAGAGACCTGATATTAACCAGTCAGTATTCATTGTCTATTTCCCTGTTCTTCCCTGTTCACACCTTAGCAGGAAAGTAGCTTTGAAGTCGCCAAGCCACTATTTGTTTTCATTTTTCCTTTTGCTTGCAGTGCTGGGTGTCATTCTTCTTTGTCAGTTCAGCTCACCCTAAGGAATGCTCATTCTGTACTATGGAATAAAGCCACCGAAATTCTATTGTGATTTGTATTTTGATAGAGGAAAGCTTCAGATAGGCATGAGGTCCCCATTATCCTTAAGCTCCTGTAACTCCAGCCACAGTGGCTCTTTGGTGCTCATGAACCTTCCTGCTTTGACCGTTCTGGAGCTGTGCCTACCACTGCCTCACTTGTTATTCAGTACTGAAAGCTGTGTGAGTACACACACACACACACACACACACACACACGCTCACACACATGCACACACACAAACACACACACACACACATACACACACAAACAAACTCACACACACATGCACACACACAAACTTACACATACATTCTCACACACAAACTTACACACACATGCACACACACAAACTTACACACACACCCTGCATATACCCCGTGCTCTCTGTCCCTTGCAAATCCACCTAGTCCCGTGTTCATTGCTCACCCTCTCTTCAGAGTTAGCTCCAGAGTGGGCTCTGTCTGTTTTCCTCTATGATGTATTATCTCAAGAGCAGAGAACAATGTCTGGCACAGAGAAGCCTGTTAATGTGATGACACTTGTGCCCTGTGCTCACTCAGGGTGAGCGCTGAGCTGGGCTGCAGAGATGGTCCAAGAACTGGCTAGTGAAGATTGTGATGGCCCTTGGAGCCACCAGCCCAGGCTTGGAAGTAATCCTGAGTACTGAAGAAACTGGTCTGGCACTTGTGAGGGTTTTGTTTGCTTGTTTGTTTCTCTTTATGCATAAGTGTGTAGAGCTCTTGACCACTTCAGGAGAAAAGGAAATGGCGTGGGGGAATTCCTTGTAGGGTGAAAAGGTGCCTGGATGAATACTTGCAGAGGATTAAGCTCAGAGGTAGGGACCTACCTGCTCCTGGAATGAGGAAGCCCCTGGCCCAGCTGGGGTGCGGCAGGAGAGGGGAGGAGTGCCCTCCTGCTGTGTTCCCTCCATCTACTTGAAGGGGGAGTTTCACATGGGGTCATGGCTACTTGGTGAGGGAGGTCTCCCACAGTCCAGGTCACTGCACCAACCTCCTCCCCTCTCCGATTGCAGAGACCTGAGTTTGGGTGGAGAAACGAAGAGGCTCTGCCTACATATTGTGTTCTAGAGACTGGTCCTAAGACATGCAGCTCCAAGTGGCAGGTGGATCTACACAGATTCCATCAGCCCCTTCTGAAGAGGCTAACATACCTCAAGATGATGACAACTCTTTTTCCTAGGCTGTACAGCCTGTCACCTCAGTATGGAGTAAAATTCTAGATGACAGTGTCGCATATACAACAGCTAATCCCAGACCGCTGAGCCAAGGAAGCCTCAGAGCTCTTCTTGACTAAGGCCCAGAGTGGGCAAGCTACTTGTTTAAGACCACACAGCTTCTCACCCACCATTAAAGACAGAGCTGGACACAGGACAACTATTTTGATACAGTTTTAAATTTCTTTCTAGTTCCTGGTTTTGGAGTCTGTGACATCATCATGTCTGTGAGTCTGTGACATCATCATGCCTGTGAGTCTGTGACACCATCATGTCTGTGAGTCTGACACCATCATGTGACACCATCATGGTGAGTCTGTGACACCATCATGTCTGTGAGTCTGTGACACCATCATGTCTGTGAGTCTGTGACACCATCATCTCCCTCATGCTGACCCTCCTTCCCAGGCCTTTGGACTCAGTGTAGCATGGCACCCTCTACATCTTGGTACCTGAAGCCTGGCTGGGAATGTCGTCCTGGCTTTGACTGGAGGCAAAATCCCAGGATGTTGAAAATAGAAAGATATTAGAGGAGAGAGTCCGGCCCCCACACTGGAACATTGTCCCCTTGAGACCCAGGACACTCCCATCTGCTGGGGGGGGAGGGAGCTCCCACCCATGTCTTGAGCACCTGAGATATATATGTTTCCCGTGAGCACCAGCAATGTACAGGTGACATTCTGTAAGAACTTTAATGGCCTCCTGAGTCAGACAGCATGTCCATTTTACAGATCAAAAAGTTGAGGCTCAGAAAGGCTCTCTTATTTGCCCTTAATCCCTAGAACTAATAAAATCTAGGCTCGGCAGAGAAGCCCAGACCCCAGGTATGGAGAAGTGGGGTAAACATCATCTCTCCCGCACCCTTCTCAGAGCAATGGGAATGATGCTCTATCTTCAAATCAGAGAGGCGAGGCTGCCTGGCAAGGGGGTGGGTGGCGGGTGGAAGGGCAAGCCTGTGTCAGCCCTCACTGTGTTCACCTGGCTGCATCCTGGAACCTACCCAGTCACGCCTGGGCAGGCGGTTGCCCCTCCTCTCTGGATTGAGGAAGCAGGAAAGGGTGGTGAGGAGAGGCGGCCAGCAGGTCTGCCAGGCAGTGGTAGTCAGTGCCGGGCAGGATGGGCTGTGTCTGGGGCTTAGCTGTGCCTCTTCTTTTCTTCTGCTGGAAGGCTGGAGTCACTGCCAGCTCTGCAGGTAAGGGGCAAGTGGGGTCTGAGGGTCCTCTCTGGATGGGCTCTGGGTGTGAGTTTTGGCAAAGACAGCCCTTTGTGGACAAGATAGGTATTTTTGTTAATTGCAAATAACAGCCTGCGGAATGTAAAATATGGTGACTGTGGACAAGTGTTCAGGATGACAAGTGTGTCAACTTAAGCGTGGTGGCATGTGGCTATCACTATAAGGGAGTCTTGGAGTTAGTCTCCAGGATGGGACAGTGGGGTGGGAGGGTAGAGGGCAGGGAGATGCCAGCTGGTGATAATTTCACTGTGGACTGACAAATATGGCCTAGCGAAGCTCTGGTTCATCCAAGTTTGTTACCTAGCACAGTTATTCTTTGAAGTTTACCTTTTGAATGAGGATTTTGTCACAAACTGCTCAGACAGGGAAATTCTGAGAGAGGTGGCCTTTTCTGAAAGATGGAAGCTAAAACTGGTGTGTCACTGACAGGCACTGTGAAAAACTCATCACACACACTTTAAATGGATGGTTTTCAGCGCAACTTTAGGTTCATAGCAAAACCGAGCAGAGGGTACTGAAACATCTCATCTATCCTGTCCCTACCACATATGGTCACCTGCTGTACATGTCTTCACAGCATCAGTGTTGTTACAGTAATGACCTCACACTGGCATATCATACTAGACAGTACCTTCTAATTCTATTTATTTATTGACCAAGTATTCCTATGCAGAACCCTGACTGCCTGGAACTTGCTATATAGACTTTATTTATAGTTATTTATTTATTATCTATTTATTTCCCCCATTTTTGTCTCTGTGTGAGAGAGAATGTTTTTACACATGTGTGGATTCACATGTGTTTGGCTGTGTGTGAACATGTGTGCGTTGTATGGGGAGGCCTGTGGTTGTTTTTGCAAATCATCCTTGAAGCCTCTTTCACCTTATTTCTTGAGATAGGGACTTTCAGTCAAACCCAGAGCTCATCGATACAGCTAAAGAGAGAGAGGGAGAGTCTACAAGTACTTGGCACATGTGTGGAGGCCAGATGACAACAGTTTGGGGATTAAACTCACGTCATCAAACTTGGTGGCAAGCACCTTCACCCACTTGAGCTATCTGGCTGGTCCAACATTACATTTCCAATTCTCATAACTCTTTTTTAAAATATTTTACTTATTTATTATGTATACAACATTCTGCTTCCATGTATATCTGCACACTAGAAAAGGGCACCAGATCTCATAACGGATGGTTGTGAGCCACCATGTGGTTGCTGGGAATTGAACTCAGGACCTCTGGAAGAGCAGTCAGTGCTCTTAACCTCTTATCCATCTCTCCAGCTCCCAATTCTCATAATTCTTAAGGACTAGGCACTCCCCTCTAAGACACTCTAAACAACTCATTTAAGGGATGTCTATAGGGAGTCATTATCCCCAGAGCCAGCATGTGCTGCTGCCAGTGCCTAACCACTGGACCACACACTCACAGTTGACCAGGTGTATGCTGCATTTTCATTTTGTTTAATTGCAACCTTACAACCCCATGAACCATGAACCCCAGGTGCCCTTCACTCCATTTGGAGCCCAGAGAGTTAGTACACAGCAGCACAAGGAGCAGAGAGGGGACTCAAACCCAGCTCTATGCCCACCCTCTCCTCACCCCTAGTTTGGAGGTGTGGAGGAGGAATGTAGCAACACCCTATGACCTGGACAGGGTTCCATGGACCAGGAGGCTCAGAGGAATAGCTTGGACTGGAGAGTGGGGGAGGCCTATGAAGAAGGCAATCAGCTGCTCCTGCAGAGAAGAGAGAGAGAGAGACAGAGTCAGAGACAGAGACACAGAGACACAGAGACACAGAGACACAGAGACACAGAGAGCATGTGGTTGGGTTGACTGAGTGAGTAAAGAGAGGATATGTGTCACACATGCTCACCTAATAGATTTCCTTACCCAAATGAGCTGTCTTCAGATCTCTGACTGCTCGCTTTCCTCAGACACATTACGTTCAGGCTAGGGGCTCCTCTCCCTTATCCTACCAGTTACCTCTAAAGATGAGACCGTAGATCATTCTTGAATTTTAAGGAAATACTTCCATGAGAAAATGGTTTTAGGGTGAACAAACTACTCATGGAAGAATGACAAAGATCCTACAGAAGGTTCTAGAAGTCCTCATTCCTGTTCTGCAGTTCATGGCTCATGTGGATTTGTGTCTCCTTTGCCCACCCTTGATAGTACAATGCCAGGACACTGACATGTCTATAGGGAGTCATTATCCCCAGAGCCAGCATGTGCTGCTGCCAGTGCCTAACCACTGGACCACACACTCACAGTTGACCAGTGTATCAACTGTATCCCAGTGATCAGCTGCGATCCTGGGGCTGCCTGGCCTCAACGGGGTTATCAGAACGTCAGAGGGCATTAGTCGGGGCAGCCTGTCTTTGGAGCTGCCGTGAAGGCCATGGCTTCTCCGTGTTGCCTTCTCATCTTTGTTTATATAGACAAAGACCCTCTGTGCCATCCGGTAGCACCCAGGGCATAAATGCCAACACTCATGTGAAGTCAGCTTATTGGGACTCATCAAGTTGTTCTCACCCGACACAGGCCTGAGCATCAGCAGTTCCGCTCCTTTGGTGACAGCAAACAACACAGAAGTGCCTGCCTTTACTCAAAGGAACAGGCCCAGCTCAGCAGTGGCTTTCCAGACCACAGCCCTCACTCAGTATGATCCTCTAGACACTCAAACTCTGAATGCTGAAACTGCTTCTAACACCTTAATTGCAACCAGTACCAGCTCAGAAGTCAGTTCCAGGGATACCCAGACCATCTCTCCTATAACAGAGACCAGGAAGACCACCTCTCCTACAGTGTCAACCCTAGAGACTCAGACCACCTCCCTTGAAGCATCATCCCTGAATACCCAGACCACTTCTCCTGCAGCATCAACCCTGGATACCCAGACCACTTCTCCTGCAAAAGAGGCCCTAAAGAACCAGACCATCTTCCCTGTTGAATTAACCCAAAAGACCCAGACCATTTCCTCTGTAACAGAGGCCACAACCCTTGAGATAAGAATGCCTTCCAACTTCATGGCTGTGCACCCCATCCCTACGGATACTTCAGATGCTTGGGCTACAAGCGGCAGCCCCAGAACTGGAATGATCACTGTCAAGCCTGGAACAGTGAGTGATCCCATAGAAGTCATTTTTGACACCCTTTGTACTGATGACAGCTCTGAAGAGGCAAGGAAGATCACACTTGACCTCTTAACCTTGGCGCACACCTCCACAGAAGCTGAATCCCTGTCCTCAGAGAGCAGCTCCTCCTCGGACAGCTCAGCTGGAGTCCTCACCAGCTCACAGGCCCTGGGGCCCGACATAGCAACTCCAGCCAAGGACTCGGTTGCTTTCAGCATCACCCACATTAAGCTCACCACCTGTATCACAGAAATAGAAACATCCATCTCTGGGACCTCAGACACAAACCACAGCCCTACAGGAGCAACAGCAGCCTTGTCCACTTCTGAGACGCTAACTTTGCCTCAATCCCCTGAGGCAAAACCATTTAGCCCCAAGATCACAAGCTCACCTGGGACCCTGCCAACAGCCAGCACCTCAGCCCTTGCTACCACTCTTGAGGGCACACTCCCTGTTAGTCATGTCACAGAAAGAGAAACAACGGTGGCTCAGATTCCCACCTCCGGTGGAACTTTGGTGACAGTTAGTGCGAGCCCACTGAAAGAGACCTCAGCATTCTCTACTGAGACACAAAGCCACGCCGAGGTCTCGGGGACAATTACAGTCTCCAGTGTTGCTGGGTCAACAATGGGAGAAGCGACCTCCTTCGCTGGTTCCTCAACTTCAGACAGCAGTCCCTCAGCAGGGGCCACCACCAAGAGCTCCTTTACCTCAGACACTTTAACCACAGATGATATAACCAGCAGCTCCTTCCTCACAGGTAACAGCACTCTTCCTTTTGTCTATTCAACTACAGCCAGCACCAGCAAAAAACCGAATGTCACCTCAGCCAAGACCACAGCCTCACCAAAGACCACAGCAAAGCACCCAACAACTACACCCGCTGCAGCCTGGACAAGGAGAACCACAAAACATGATCCAGGTAAGTAGAACTCCCATGTGTGAGCTTTGCAGATTTAAGTTTGGAGTATTCATAAGGAATTGAGAGGAAGGAAGGAGCTCAAGGCCGATGTTGCCTCCTCTCCCCGACATATCAGGATCTCCTGGTGGGTTGGTAATAGGTGGTTAGAAATGTATGTATTGTGTGGTGGTGTGTATGTGATGTGGTGGTGTGTATGTATTGAGTGTGAAACTGAGTTTTTGAGACGTGGTTGAGACCTTGACTGTGTTTTCTCCTGAGAGACCTTGGGCCTGTCCCTATCTCTGAGCCTAACTCTCTCCACCGTGTCTGGGGAAGGGGCTGCATCAGCACCATCTGAGTGAGCGCCGTCTTTTCCAGACCTAACCTCTACAGTATCAACTATTGAGCAACTACTGTGCTTCAGGTGAGATCTGAAATGTCATTTAAAAGACATGAGATCTGAAATGTCATTTAAAAGACTTGGCCCTTAAGCCAGTCATGCCCACACAGAAAGGAAGAAGAATGTAGACGAGCAACTTATCCAAATTGCTGCCATGTGTGCATGTGGAGGGCACAGAAGTGGGGCATGGTGGCCATGTTTGCTGTGTTCTACATCATAAAGAGTGACTTTAGACAAACCTACAGAACAACATTTGGGGGAATTTAAATCTTAATTTCTTCAAGAACAGAAACTCCTCAGAGGGGTCCACTGTCAGCAGGTCTGTGATAAGAACAGCTTGTGGGCAGCCTGAAGCATCTGCCCCTGTTGCTTGTTTTGTCCTTGTGGTCCATTCATGAGTATCTTTGTCTTGTCCCACCTTTTGGGGCAAGGGAAATAAAAATACTAATCATGAACTGAGGATCTAGCTCAGTGATAGAGCCTTTGACACTGGTAAAGTGTGCCTGAGACTCCAAGCCCTGAAAACCCCCATCTCTGTCATCTTTATCTCTCTCTGTCTCTCTGTGTATGTCATCTCCACCTCAGTCTTGATCTCTATCTCTCTTACCTCTGTCTACCATCTCCATCTCTATCTCTTTCTATGTTCAGCTACCAGTATCACCTTTTATCTTCATCTCTGTCTTTTTTTATCTCTTTATCAACTCTGTCAACCCTGCCTCTACCCATCATACATCTTCAGGCATGACATCACAGGTCTGCAACCCAGTACTCAGGAGGCAGAAGCAGGACAGAGTTTAAAGCCAGCTTGATCTACATAGTAAGACCCTATCAAAAAACCGGAACCAACCCAAAACAAAAATTAAAACAAAAACATTTAACCACAGTCATGTTACTGAATATCGTTTACATTCTGGGCAAAAATAATATAAAAATACTTGCTGGGTGTTGGTGGTACATGCCTTTAATCCCAGCACTCGGGAGGCAGAGGCAGAGGCAGGCGGATCTCTGTGAGTTCGAGACCAGCCTGGTCTACAAGAGCTAGTTCCAGGACAGCCTCCAAAGTCACAGAGAAACCCCATCTCGAAAAACCAAAACCAAACCAAAACAAAACAAAAAACCCAAAAAAACTTCATAGTCAGTAGGCAGAGCCCCTAAATGACTTTACCAGATATTCTAGTATTCTATCTGTGGCTGTGATGAACACCATGACCAAAGCAAACTTGGGGAGAAAGGGTTTATTTGCCCACAGGCCAATCTGATGGAGGCAATTCCTCAGTGAGATTCCCTCTTCCCAGGTGTGTTTAGGCCTGTGTCAAGTTGACAAAAGCTACTATGACACCAGAAAAAGGTAAATGAACCTACTTGGCACAGGGAGTAGACCACTGATAGGATAGTTGCTGCCATGAACTCAATAAATGCAAGAGAGAGAGAGAAAAAAAAAACACATTTTAACCTAAGAATGGAGGAGCTACAGACACTCCACCAAAGAAGTGTCTAGGAATCCCAGGGGCAGCTTATATTGTCGAGTTTAAATTGAATTGAGTTCTGCCCAATACTATCGTCCAGGCCCATTTTCAGAACACCTCACCTCACTCCCACCCCCGTTCTAAAGAACATTTGGTCCAGGCAGTGTTACCACAGAAAACCATCTTTTTCCTTCTCATAGATATCCATATTTAGTCTCAAAACTTGCTTCAGTGGGCTTTTTCTTGGGGGCTGATGGTATGGTTCCCATTCTGATAGCCAAATGTGAAGTCACACACATGGGGAGGTCCCCAGATGAAGTCACACACATGGATAGTCTCCAGATGAAGTCACCCACATGTCCTAGTCCCCAGGTTCTAGGCACAAGTCCTCTTGCTGTCCCCACTCCCACAGAGCACTCTGTTAACAAAACTAGTCTGCATGGAGAATGGACTACAGATGCCTTCATCTCACAAACAGGGCAGCCTTGGAATGGAGGGGAATCCTTTTCTTTTAATTTCTTTCTCTCTGTCCCTCTCTCTGTCTGTCAATCTCTCTCTTCTCCAACTCCTCCTTCTCCTTATCATCATCATCATTGTGAGTATGTGTGAGTGTGTGTGTGTGAGAGAGGGGGGTAGTGGGAACAGGGATTTATGTGTCATGGTGTTCATCAGGAGTTCAGAGGACAGCTTTGTATAATCATTTCTCTTCTGCATTTATGCGGGTTCCAGGAACCATACTCAGGTCACCAGGCTGGTTCTGCAACCCCCTTTACCCTCTGAACCACCTCAAAAACGCAGAAAAGAGTTCTGGACACACATCCCAAGAAAATTTGCCCTACTTGAATTCCAAATCTATAACCTCACAGATAATCAATTTCGTTGGTCCAACCATCAGACACAAAATCTGTCAGTGCCAGGTCAGGGGGTCTAGGGAAAGTTCTCTACAGCAACAAATGGCCCTGTAGGCTGCTGGGACTATCCCAGGAATCCCTGGCCCAGGACTTGCTAGGCATTAAGATTTATTTTTTCTCAAGAATCATAAAGTAATGTTTATTTCTATATGCCCCAAATAGCAAGTCTGGTAAAACAACATACTCATTGGTGTTATCTACAGAAGTCTGGATGGCTCAGAGGCAGTCACACCACCAAAGAGTCCCACCTCTTGTGTAACCTTGGGGAGAGGTGGGACCTGCAAGCCTCCATGATCCCCACATGAGGAAATGTTTATAGACTTGATTTAGTAAAGGTCTTCTATAGGTGGTCACGGCTGATACGATCTAAGGCATCTGTTATCATACCTAACCCAGAGAAACAGACACATAGCACGGCTGTGAGCAAAAAGTCAGAAGGCCCACCAACTTTTGCTTCTACCACCCCAAAAGGCTAATGACTTAAGGACAAGTTGTTGGGGCAGAGGAAAGATAAGTCTGGAAGACTAGAGAATACAGAGCATCTTGGGGCTCTTGGGTATCGGAAGTGTTTCTTAAGGAGAGAAGGAAGGAGAGGGCATAATGAAAAAGAGGATTCCAGAGACTTCTAGGAGCTAAGTCAGTGGCCTGTTATCTTAGTCACTCTTATATGAGGTAGATTTAAGAGAAATCAACTTTGTATTACAGTTTATATGAAACAGTTCTCAAATTGTTCATATCAATAGTTTATAAAATTAAACAGAAATCTGACCCAAAGGTTAAGGTGGCAAAGGAGACAGATAAAGTGTAGAGGTAGAGAGGTCAAGAATTTCTGTCTTGTTTTAGCAGCTCACTGGACATCTGCAGATCCAGAGTCAGTGCTTTTAGCAAAACTGGCCTTTGAGCCTGGAAAGGTAGCACACTCAACGGGTGTCATCAAAGCCCACGTTGGAGGTGTTGTCTATAGTACTGAGGGACTAAGGATATGTTGCTCTGCTTCCTGACCTCCAAGATTGGTGGTTTTAAGTTAAATGAAATAAATGAGATTTGGCAGGGATTTATTTCCCAGAACTCTGGAGGTAAGTGGATCTCTGTGAGTTTGAGGCCAGCCTGGTCTACAAAGAGAGTACTAGGATAGCCGGAGCCATTACACAGAGAAACCCTGTCTCAAACAAAACAAAACAAAACAACAAACAAAAGACAAGCAGGAGTGTGGATACGTAAGGAGAGGGGCCCAGGTTGGAGATGACATGACTGTTTTCATTATCTTTCATCTATCCACGACTTTCAGGAGAAGATGGAGGCTTCCTCCTTGTCAGGCTAAGTGTGGCCTCCCCTCAGGACCTCACTGAGCCAAAAGTCTCAGAGAAGCTGATACACCAGGTAAGTGGTGCGTCAGTCGAAAAGTGAGGGGCTTCAGGGACCCCAGGGAGCATCTGCAGGACTTAGAAGGGTATCTACTACATGTAATAGTGTTACATAAAAGAGCATAGGAGCTGAACCTGGGGCCCATGTCTGGCTTTGATCTTGCCTAGCTTCTCAATTCTTCCCTTCCCTTTCTGTAATGAATCTCCCCACCCCATATCCAGTTTCTTCAGGTCCTAGAAAAGGCCAGCGATGTTGATGGGAAAGTAAGCAGAGATCATGGTAGTTTACAGGGAAAAGGTGAAGTCTGAAGAATCTACAGGTGGCGCTTCCACTGTCAGCTATGGCTGGAGCCAGCAATGTCAACTAATCATGAGTACTTTCTCTGCAACCCTGTGCTCTTCATTCTTCATGGTCTTTCTCCATACATATGGGAGGGAGGGGATATCACAGAGGGAAAAACTACTCAGCCTACCTTGGCTACTTTATTTTATTTATTTATTTATTTTTGAGATAGGTTTTTTTTTTTTTTTTTTTTTTTTTTTTTGTGTGTGTGTGTGTGTGTGTGTGTAACAGCCCTGGCTGTCCTGGAGCTCACTCTGTAGACCAGGCTGGCCTCAAACTCACAGAGATCCACCTGCCTCTGCCTCCTGATTGCTGGGACCAAAGGTGTGCGCCACCACCGTGTAGGTGGAGGTTTCTGTCCCACCTGGTTCCACAGCTGTGTTGCCCAAATAAACACAGAGATGCTATATTAATTATTAAACTGTTGGCCCATGGCTAGCATTTCTTATTGTCTAGCTGTCTCTTAATTATTAACCCATAACTACTAATCTATGTATTTCTACATGGCCTTATCTTACCAGAGAATGCCTGGCACATCCTATCTTCCTGGTCTGTGCATGGCGTTTCCCTGGGCGGCAACTCTCTGCCTCCTCTCCCCAGCCTTCTCCTGGACTGGTAGCCTTACCTATCTTCCTATCTGGCTATTGGCCAACCAGTGTTTTATTCATCAACCAATAAGAGAAACGTATATACAGAAAGACATCACCCATCACCACCACCCACCCAGCCCTTCTCCACTTTTATACATTCTCTACCCAAACCAAGGGGATCGTGCCACCAATAGAGGGCTAGCTCTTCCTGTATTAAATAACTCATTAACACAATCTCCCATAGACAGGCCAAACTGACCCAGACAGTGCCTCATTGAGACTCTTCTAGGTGATTCTAGAGTGCATCAAGTTGAAAAAACTAGCATCCAATAAATATCACATAGCTGATGGGAAAGGGTAGAAAACAGGGATGCTAGGTATAAAACCCCTTGGAGATAATGCTCTAGACAGGGAAGAAGATGGTGGTGCATTTGTATACCGTAAGCCTAGACCATTTGTAAGGTTCTGGGGGCAAGGCTTTTGGGGGTGCTGTGAATGAGTGGAAGATTAGACTGAGTCAGCTCATTATAAAGGCCATAGGCCTAGCTCAGTGTAGGTTTTATGAAGTGACCAAGCGCTACCTGTATTGTAAACAGTGAGAGCAGACCTAGGGAAGCACCTAAGACAGACTGCCTCTTCCACCCTGTTCCACCACACGTCTTAGTCTTGCAGCCAGCACTGTTCTTAGTCAATGAGGACCACAGTACTGCAGGCTCGATGTCACCTCCTGAAAGAAGAGACATGAAAGAGAGGCTGACAGGCAGCCTTATGCCAGGGGTAAAGTCCTACAGCCAGGATAGACAGGTGAGGTGGTCTATTAGCAGACAGAAGTGGGTGGTACCCCTATCAGTAGGATCCCTCAGTGAAGGCAAAAAAGGCCCGACATCCATCACCATCTGGTCTTGTCTGGCTTCTTTAATTTGTTTCTATTCCCTTTTCATATTATAAATTAATCCCCACTCACACATCTGAGTTTTGTTTTTATCTTATTTTATGTGTATGGATGTTTTGCTTGCATGTATGTCTATGCGCCATATCCATGCCTGGTGCCCATGAAGGCCAGCAGAGGGTATCAAATTCCCTGGGACTGGAATTACAGATGGTTGTAAGGCAATCATGTGGATGCTGGGAACCAAAACAAGTCCTCTACAAGAGCGACAAGTGCTTTTAACTACTGAGCTGTTTCTCCAGCCACAGATCCAATTTGTGTCAGGTCCTAGATGACCAGGCTTCCAAGAAGTTAAGGGACACTGATGAGGAAGACAAAAAGCAAAGCTCTCAGTTGCAAATGAGGGAGGGACCCCAGATGCACAGAAGCAAAGGAATGACAGAAGAGCAGCTTTGAAAAAGCATGGGGACATGTTCCCTGGGACACTGTCCTCTTGCTGGGCACTGTCAGGGGGCACCATACTCCATACCTTGTCACATGGCTTCCGACTGGCACTTTGCCTTTGGGTTGTTTGTTGCAGGGTCAAAGTTCTGAGCAGGAACATCCAACTAGCCAAGTTTGGCTCTGGTACCCACCACTCACTACCCTGGGATATCAGGAGGGAATAAATATCTCCGTCTTCAAATTCTCTTAGTAGCGAGGAGGCCGGTAGGGACTATCCTCATGAGGATTTCTGTCCACAAGGCATCCAAGTTTGACATTGGATGGATAAATAGATGACAGATGTCTCTGTCATGAACAGCAAAGTAGGAAGCAGGGATCCTTATGGGAGGAAAAGGCCACAGTGGAGCATAGACTTGACACCTGAATTGGCAACTATTTCAGGGGTCAGAAAGCAATCTGGAGCTAAGGATTGGGTCAGGCAGCTGAGAGACAGGAGTGAGACCACATGGGGTTGCCACAGACATTATTATTGTTGTTGTTGTATTTTATTTTATTCCTTTATTTTATGGGATTTTGTTAAGTGTAGTGATTTTTTTTGAGGTCTGGCCAAGGGCGTGAGCACAGGGGTCAGGCAGATCTGAGGGGGGGGGTTCTATTTAGCTGTGTGAGCTTGGGTAAGTCAGCCCACTACAGTTTACCTCTTATGGAATGCGGATGAAAACACCTGATGTGCAAGGCTGCTGTGCGTTTTAAGTGGTCCTTGTTATGACAGGAGAGGTCCAGGAGCATTGTTGCTATCTCTTCACCGCCCCTTCTTGTCCTTGGCCTGTGGTGGGCTCCGGGGCAGATAGGCTGGGCTCCTCACCTGTTCTTTCACTTTCCAGCTCAGCTGTGAACTGCACACCCACGTGCCGCTTGTCCAAGTGTCCTTACTGAGAGTCCGAAGGAGCTGAAGAATGCTAACTGCAACCAGGCATGTCCTCTATACCGGAAGAAGAGTAATGCTGCCTGTGACCCAGACCCCAAACCAACAAAAGCTGTGGTGCTGTGCCATGGACCCAGAGGGTTTCTAGGAAGGTCAGCTGGCTTGAGAACCCTGCCCCATACCTGACCACAAGACCTTGGTCTACTATGCCTGAGTGTGTGTGCAAGGGGGAGGGCTGGCCTGTTTCCAGGGGTGTCCTTCTCTTTCTCTGACTGGTTATTGTATTTCAGTAAAGAGAAAACTGACCACTCATCTGTGTTCTTCCATTTTGTACTCAATGACACTCAGTGTGACCCAGAAATTGTCTATAGTGAATTGGCGTGCCTTAGATGTTTTTATTACGTGGGAATTTGGGGACTGCTTTCCTGTGGCCTGGTTTGGTTTGGCATTTACCAATACTTGCCCTGGAGCCTGTTGAACCTTGAGCTCTGTGTTTGTCAACTTATTGTTGCTATAGCAAGATAGGAGAACATCAGCTTGCAATGAGAAAAAGCTCATTTCTGCTCACAGTTGAGAAGGTTCTGGGTCAAAATAGGGGAAATCCATTGCTTTGGGCCCCAGATCAGGTCAAAATAGGGCAGCAATCCATTTGCTTTGTGTATCAGGTGGGAGTGCCACGTGACAAAGGTGGGAAGTGCCTGGCAGAGCCAACTGCTAATCTTGTGCTCAGAAAGCAAAACAAAGGAAAAGGAAGGAGCTGGGGCACCCAATTCCCCCCAAGGGCACATCCCCAGTGACAAGGTGGGTAAGAGAGCTTGCTTCCGAAGTATAATGGCCCGAGTTCAGATCCCCAGCATTTGTATGAAAAGCCAGGCATGGCCATATGCAAGCCAACACCCCAGCTCTACCAGGAATGGACACAGACAGGAGGATCTAAACAAAATGTCAATCTCCAGGTTTGGTGAAAAATCCTGGGTCAGAGGAATAAGACAGAGAGTGATGGAGTAGGCCACCAAATGTCCTTCACGGGCATGGGCACACACACACACACACACACTCACACACACACTCACGCACACTCACACACACACACACTCACACACACACACACACTCATGCACACTCACACACACACTCACGCACACTCACAATCACGCACACTCACACACACACACACACACACACTCACACACACACACTCACACACACCACCACCACACAGTTCATAAAGATGAAAGCATGTGTGAACCTAAATAAGGCCACCTGCCTTGTCACCTGTCGCTAGGTATGACTTCTGAGACTCTAAAGCATGAAGAGAACAACATGAGGGACTTTTCTGACATGGTTACGCGAAGCCTGGCCATCTTCTTTCGCCCCTCCAGAGAGAGCTGGCCACTGTGCTGTGTGAAGCAGTGCCTGGTAGTTAATTCCTGTGAGTGCCCCAACTGCAAGTGAGCAGATACCACATCACTTTCTAGTGGCAATAAAGTTTAAAGTGGTGTATCATGCCAACCAGCTGCTATCTGTCATCTGGCTGTTTAGCTCCTCGCATCAGGCCCACAGGAAGTTTCTGGAAGCCTCCTTTAAAGCAGAGAAGAATGAGCAAGGACAATGGCATGTGGGGCCCCAGATAGTTCTCTTTGTCCTTCAGTGGCCGCTCAGGATGTCCCTGCTGCCTGTAACCAGCTGGGACTGGATGGAGAGTGCCTGTTTGTTTTCTCAGCTAAGCCTAGCACCCTGAAGAACGATCAGTCCCCTTTTATCCCTGGTGCCAAAGTGACAGAATCCAAACCAAAGAGCTAGTTGAAAATTCATGAAAAATTGCAAGAGTGTCCTTGATCTAGCTCTGCCATTCACAAAGGTAGCTCTCTGGCAGCCACAGCATGTTGTCACCGGGACACCATCCCTTCTCTGTCAATGTCCCGTTCTGTGCTCTCATTGCCTCAGCAATTATGACCAGGGCTACTAGACAAGATACAGAGTAGCAAATATGTTACAACTTCAGGTGAATAATTTAAAAATGTAAAAGGATGTCCTAAGGACTGGAGAGATGGCTCAGCGGTTAAGAGCACTGACTGCTCTTCCAGAGGTCCTGAGTTCAATTCCTGGCAACCACATGGAGGCTCACAACCACCTTGAATGAGATCTGATGCCTTCTGCTGGCATGCAGGCACAAGACTGCATGTATACATAATAAATAAATAAAATCTTTAAAAAAAGTAAAAAAAAATTAAAAAAAGGATGTCCTAAATATTTCCTGGACCATCCTTATACTACAAAATTAGTTGTGCTGGTGGCTTGTCCGAAACTTAATTTTAACTAGGCATCTTCTGCTTTTTATTTGCTAAATCTGTCAACTCTTCTTTATTATAGTGTGCACAGTCCAAGCTGTGTAGGTGCTTTGCATGCATTAGAGGTGCTTGGCATGCATTAAACAGCCCTCCTTTGAGAGATAATCTTGCTATAAGCCCTGGCAGTCCAGATCTTGCAATGATCCTCCTGCCTCTGCTTCCCAAATTCAATTACAGGCTTGTGTGGCCACAGCTGGCCTGAACAGGCAGGGTACTTATAGGGTTAACAGTTTTAGAAGTTGAAGTCCAAGTTGAATGGCCTCATCTGTTTGACCCCTAGGTCAGGGTCCCTCAGCTAGGTCAAATGTCAAAGAAACAGAAAAGAGACCCGTCTACTATATGCAAAAGAGGCCGAGGGCACAGGCTAGCCTGTGCAATTAAAAACTCACTCCCAGGGCAACTGGGTCCTCCGAGAAATGCTCCAGTCTTCCCCAAGGTGATTTCCAGGACCTAACTGCCTTAGACTAGGCCTTGCCTCTTGAAGGTTTACCACTTCAACATGGCTGCACCAAGGACCAAGGCTCCATCATTGGCTGAGGTAAAGGAGTGGGTGAGACAGGAGGAAGCAAGGACCAAGCCAATGTTGTGACCACTGATGCAACTAAGTTGGGCCAAGTGGGAGCTGTGACAGGGTTGGGCCCCAGCACCTGACTCCTCTACTGCCTCCCCAACATGCAGCTGCCACAGCCATGTTTATGATGACGGGGAGAAAGCACTGTGCCTATCCCTAGAGCCACCAGAAGAAATGGGTGGAATCCATGGTTTGGAGGCACAAAAAGTCAGAGACTTTATTTAAATACATTTCATTAACTCTGGTGTGTGTGTGTGTGTGTATGTGTGTGTGTGTGTGTGTGTGTGTACTCATACATGGCAGTGTCCTCCTTTCAGGTGTGTCTGTGTGAGAACCCATCCATCTATGTATTTGGTCATCATAGCCTCTTCCTGTACCCCTGGTCTACTGACAAGGTATAGTCTTATTTCACTCCCTTTATTCATTCTTGAAGAATTGCAAATCCCCTTCATTCAGCAGCCCCTCTCCAGCCTTCCTAGCTGAGAGGTGGACTGATGGGCGGGTCCTGAGGTATCCTAGGTGCAGCTGCCCATCCAAAGCAAGGCCTCACAACACTGAATCCAAAGGGTAGGAGAACTTGTTCGGGGAGCAGCCGCAGAAGTGAAAGATGGCAAATGCCAACATCCCCAGCAGCAAGAGGGCACCCAAGGTCCCGAAGAGGATCCCGAAGAATGCTCCAAGTTTCACACTTAGGTGCTCACATTGTTCACCCCAGGATGTGTAGATGGTGAAGGATGCACAGCTGGGGGACAGAGAGAACAAGTGTGGTCAGTAAGGATGCAGGCCTGGCCTGCTCAGCCTTCCTCTCCTGGGGACCAGGGGTCATTATCCTGGACAGGCAGGGCTATCCCCTGAGTGGAGGACCCAGCCAGCCCCAAGGCCATTTTGAAGTGAAGTCACCAGCCAAAATGAGGGAGGTGTGAATAGCACATTCTACACCGCCTGTGTAGCCCAGAAGGGTAGGGGTACACTGCTATACAGTCACAAATCCATCCCCATATTCTCCCAAAGGATGGGCTCCACTCTCCATTCAGCCCAAGTCCTGGGGCCAGTCCTAGACTAAGATTGGGACAAGAGTGACACTGGGAGACAAGCCCCTGTGTCACTGCAGTCTTCCAGTCTGCTCCTCGGGGAGACACTCAGTTTGCTAACATATGGAAGAGGCCTAAGGAACCAGCCTCATGGCGTCCCCAGACTGAGTGCTCTTACAGAGGGGCAGGATGGGGACCAGACCAAGACAGCAGGTTCCTTTTCACAGGGCTGGAGGGCGGCATCCATTCTCAGGAAGCTTCAGTGCTCGGCCACTTTACTTCCTGGGTGCCCCCGGACCCTTGCTATTCTGCAGTGAGGTTTTCTCATCTCCAGGATGGTCCAGCACCCTCTTGTGACTAGTGTGAGTTTCAGAAGCAATACATCTTTCTTCTCCATGCAGAGGATCGGCACACACTCTCCCCTCCCCTCTCCTCTCCTCTGCTTCTTGTCCCCTGGCCACTAGAGAGTCATCCCAATGTCACATGTTGGGAGGGACCATGCCTCCAGGGTCTACAGTGGTGACCTATCCAGCTTATGTTCCCAGCACTATCCTCTCCTGCCCCAGGTCCCTACCCACCTGCATTTGGGCCCATCTGGTAGGTGCTGGCATTGGCCTTCATTGTGACAGTAGCCCTCACTACATGGGGACACGCAGGTGACACCGTTCTGGGGGCTGTAGACCAGGCTGTAGTTCTTGTAGCCCTCACACAGGAAATAATCGTTCAGCATACTTAGGTTCACTGTAGGCAGGACAAGGATGCAAATAGAGCAAGCAAACAATTGAGATAATTCATACATTCTCCATCAAGAAGTCAATGTCAGGTGTCTATCCTGAGAAACAACTGGGTGAGTGTACAGACACCTGTATGTGGGTATTTGGTTCTACAGGGTTGATCCTATCAACAGTGTATAATGGGGGACAGAGCACTTAGCAAATCAATTACTGTACAGCCCTACTACGCTGGGGGCGGGAGGGGGGGCAGTTTTCAGGGTCTGAAAAGGCCAGCAGTGATGAGCACAGTGATGAGCACACACTCGGAAGTTAGCCACACCTGAGCTGAAACGCAGGCTCTTCAACTAACTAGCTATGTGATAGGGACTCTTTCCTAAGTCAGCCTCAGTTCCCTTCTCTCTCTCTCTCTCTCTCTCTCTCTCTCTCTCTCTCTGTGTGTGTGTGTGTGTGTGTACATGTCTGTGTGTGCACACACACGGTGTGTTTCTCTGTGTAGCCCTGGCTGTCCTGGAACTAGACCAGGCTGGCCTTGAACTCACCGAGATCAGCCTGCCTCTGCCTCCTGAGTGCTGGGATTAAAGACATGTGCCACCATGCCTGGTCAATTTCCTTATGTTTAAAAACAAAACATAAAAACAGCACCAACCTAGCTATGGTGTCCAGTGAGACACTGCATGTGGAGTATATAAGACAGGGTTGGATGCATAAAAACACTCAATAGAAAGTAGCTATTCCCACAACACTTAAAATGTGTTACAAACACCAGTTTCGAAAAGATCACTGTAAGAATAGTATGTCAAATGGGAATAGGCACACAGTGTTTGAGCTAATGTTAGTCATTATTATTTAATACAGAGGATGCCAAACTAAGCTATGATTTGATCCCTTAGTGAAAAAAAAAAAAAGATGTGAAATTCCCTAAGGTATAACAGAAGAAAATTAGGTAGCATTGTCTTTTCTTTCTTGCTTTTGTAACTCGGGGTTTCCTAGACTCTCTACAAGAAACATATTGTGTCTGTATGGTAGAATTGTATTTTCTTTTTCCCTCACTCCTTTCTCCTTCTTTCCTGTCACTCTTTAAGACAGGACCTCATGTAGCCCAGGTTGGCCTCAGACTTGCCAAAGCTCTCATTTACCCTCTTGCCTTCCGAGTGCTCAGACACAAGCACACACCACTGCTCTTGGCTCTGAGTCAGAGCTGGGACTGTTTTGCCTGTCTCCCCACTACTGCTTCCCAACGTGCAGAAATTTCACTTTATTGCCCCAAGAAGCAGGAAGCATAAACCAGATTCTAGAAGCAGCTCTCATCAAGTGTTGGACCCAAGTAGAATAACAGTTCCTCCCTTGCTGGGTGGGGTTCCTATCCTATCCTCTGTTCCATTCCGGAAGCTTGGGGAGGGGTATATTCCTTGGTCTCCCTTGCTCCCTGCCCAGGCTGTCAGAAACCCCATCTCATTTTCCCAATGAGACCATGGAGTTCTGGCATGGGTGGGGCCATACCCTTTCAGAAGGAGCCCTCTATTCTCGACAGCCTCCATTTATGATTCTCCAGCAAGAGGACCAGGTTTAAGGTAGTAGGTGTTCAATGTGTGTTCAGTACAATGACAGTTCAAGAAGTGAGTGATCTTACTAAAGGAAGGAAAGACAGTAGGGTGTAGTGGCGGTAGCCTGGAAATCCCAGCATTTGTGAAGCTAGGGCAAGAGGATCGTGAGTTTGAGGCCAGCCTGAACTACATAGTTAGGTCTTGTCCCAAAACCAAGCAAACAAATGAGTAGATACATGGAACCCATCATGCAGCCTGGGCTGGAATAATTGCCGTGTGACATTCTCATGTGGGTCTACCAGCAGCATCTTGGGTCCCTCCTCTGAATCGAAAAGAGCTGATGGGGGAAATGTTTTAAATTTCACTCAGAGATTTACAAACCACAGAGCTAAGTTAACCTGCTTCAGTGGTGGACCTATATACAGGACCACATACTTTCTACTGGAGGTTGGCATGGCCTTTGGGCCTGTGATGGCCCTTCTATTTATTTCTTTCCTCTTTCCCAACTGTCTCTGTTTGGTCCCCAAGGTAGAGTGACTCACAAGCCATCACATCTTGGATCTCCGCCCTGGAGATGGGAAAGAAGTTGACGTTCTTCCTGGCTTCTCCATTGCTCCTCTTCTGCCTCCCCTGAAGGAGGAAGGCCTCCACCACAGCGTCTATCAGGTGGTTGTTCAAAAAATGGATGACCGGGCCCCTGGGACGGTACTGGAAGTGGGAGACGACCCGCCACTGCTGAATTGGCTTGTTGGAGGACTCTGCTGAGAGAGAGCTGTACGGGAGGGAACAGTGAGGATTTGAGGAGCCGGAGAGAGGGAGAGGGGAGACATGGAGGGACCACTTCACTTACATCCCTGTCAGTTCCACTTGGCTGTTCGAGAGAAAAGCCCGCATGTCCAGAGTCTCTAGCCTGTATGCCACCTACAATGGGGGGAAAATAAGAGGACAGGCTGAACGAGGATCAGAGAGGCCAAGCCCACCTCTGAGTGCAGGGCCCAGGACCCTTAGAACATCTGCAGCCTGGCCCACACTTCATGTCCACACTCATGTCTCAGTCAGAGGCTGGCCTGGGTCCTTGCTTAACAAATACTCAGTGGGAGAGGGATGACCCCTCCCCCACCTCAACCTTGCCAGGGGAACATCTGAAACAAACACCTCTGCCCATCCGCTCCCCTTTATGTACCAAACAAAAATGGTTTAGCTAAGACCTAGGCACAGCTAGGTGTCAGGAATTCCAAGGTGACCCAGGACCCATTTATTTCAAAGAGCCTGCAGTTAAGGGCAGCAGATGAATGTCAACAGCTCTGATCAGTTGATGTTGAGCATGTCTGGCAGTCAGGGTACCAATAGTAGTAGTCACTTTGAATGCCTGTCTTGTTTTGGTACTAAACGTTTTGTATGCTTTGCCATTTAAATCTTGGCATAGCCTAATGACAGGTACTACTTACTATTATCCACGTTTATCCACAAAGCTGCTATAAATAGCTTATCTAATTATTACACCTGCTCTAGGAAGAGGCAGGGCAGAGATTTGTGTCCCTGTGTATAGGAGTCTAGAGTTTCCACCATTCACCAGTACACCTACTTTGCTTAACGGAGGTGTTGACAAGGACATGTTATCAGAGGAGTCCCAGTTTCCTTTGGGAAGTCAGAGTGGAGGTGACTTCTTCCACATAGCAGCCAGAAAGCATTAATAATGAGAGGTACCCAGAGGGACAGGCTGGGGTGACATGTCACCCTAGAGTCTTAGCAAGTTGGAAATTCTAACACATTCTATGGTCTCTAATCCTGAGGTTTCCTGATGTCTTACGTCCTTGAACCTCCACTGGGCAAGAGGCTCCCCTCCTTTGGGAATTAAGGTAGTTGAAGGATGTGTTAGTTATAGCATAGCCCCTGTGGGAACCCTTCGCTATCTGACTCCCACTGGGAGTCCAGCAAGCAACACTGACCGAGGCGTTGACGTCAGCTCGGGAGGCATTTTCGTTTTCCCTGAGTGAGAGCACGATGGTCCTCAAGGGAAGCTCTGGAGATGAAGAAGCAGGACCCATCATCACCCCACAGACTTCCCAGACTTATCAACACTTCCCCAGTGCCCGCCCAGAGACTGCTTCATCCACCATGGCGAGGCCTGCACTCCATTGCTGCTGTGCTGACCAGGCCTTCTGTGGCTCTCATCTAACAGAGCCAGGAGGCTTCTGCTTCATTCTGCCCTCTGGAAATGACTGAGCTGCTCTCATTAGCTCCCCTTGCCCCAAACTCACCACACAGGAGGAAACCTCAGTTCTGATCTGGGCTGCAGGGGAACTTGGACCTCAGACACTGGTTTTCCCCTCATTCCCAGACAGACAGGAGAGACTCATGGGGCTGGTACAGCAGGAGGATTTAGTCATACCTTTATAGACAGTGGGAGTGAAATTGTTCCCAGCCAGGAAACAGCGGCTATCAGTGAAGGCTGGCGGGCAGGTGCAAGCGGGCTGGCAGTCGGGAGCCCCAGAGATATAGCAGTGGCCATGGTTATAGCAGTAATTCACAGGGCAGAAGTGGTTCTGGCAGACTAAAGAGTCCTCTAGAGCTGTAAAGGAAGCAGGGAACACCTAGTCAGCCACACCACGACTAGGCAGCTGATAAGCGGCCTATTGGAACCTACCCCCAGGATATCTTGGGTTTTTGTTTGTTTTCGCCCATGCCCAATCTGTGTTGTACTTGTGGGCCACTCTGAACCCCAAACCATGTCCAAGCATGTCTCTGTGATGCAACCTTTTCCTCTCTGCCAGGTAAGCCTTCTCTTCACCTCTGCAGATGGCGTGGCATAAGGACCAGAGTGCACTTATCAGAGAGGGACCCAAAAAGTTGGTGAGAGAAGGATCACAGTCTCCTTCTCCCCTTTTTCCCTCCATGGGCCATCTCCTGGCTCCGTCCACCCTGGCCTCTGCCCAGAAGACAGTGGTCTCCTGATTGTATTTGTCTGCCTTCGAGGACTGGAAAAGGCTGCACTGTCATCTCTGGCATGGTGACTACTGTGGCACAGAGGAAGAGGAGCTGATGGGCAGGAAAGAACTCAAAGGAAAATGTAGGTTCCTCTGTCACTAGGTTCCCATGGTGACACTTCCAATGTCCTGACTTGGGAAAAGTGGAGCCCCTGAGCCTTGTCTCTGATGATGCCCAGGTGCCCGAGAGCCCAGCTTACCTCTGGCGTCCTAGCCTGCTCCATCAGTCTTTCCCCAGGTTTTCTCCAGCAGGCTCTTAGGGTTGCTGTGTTCCAACCCTCAGGGTCTGTATCCCTTCCTTCAATCCCACACCTTCTAACTGTCCCTTTCTAAGCCCCCTCATCACAACTTCTTATCGTGGGGGATTTGAAGACATGTTGCTAAAGACAGACATACCAGTTTGTCTTTGTCACAGATCCTTGACATGTCACTTGGACCCAGAACCTGCAACCTCCTCTCGCCAGAGCCCTGTTCCCAGTTTACCTGCACAGTGATGCCCATCTCCAGTCATGTTTGGAGGGCAGGCCTCACAGCCCTTCCCAGGAATGCAGGACACATTTGGGAAGCATGGCTCTTCACAGTGGTCCTTGGAGCGATCACAGAAACGGCCAAAGGTGTTCCCATCACACCTGCAGCTGGTCACCTGAATAACAGCAGGGTGGCTGGCATCCACAAGCCAAAGAACTTCTAGTGTCTCTGCCCTGACACTTCTGCCTGAGAAGCCCTGTTTGTTTCAGTCCCTCCAGCAAGCACCTTCTTCAACAGCACAGGACTGCTTAGAGCTACACCATACCCTGCCTGGCCCTGCAATAGGCAGGCTCTCCTCTCCCACACTGTACCTTCTTTCCTGGAATCCTTGATAGAGTAAGAAATAGAGAGGAAAGAAGAACAAACAAAAAGGCAAAGCAGAAATGGGACAAGACCTGTGGACTTGGTCATGAAGCTGGCCACAAATGTGGATGGAGAGAATTTTCTCCAAACTGAAAAAGATGCTTCTTCAGCTAGAGGAAAGAGCAAACAGAGGAACTGGGGGTCGCAAGTCAGCTTCCTACCCCTCTCTTCCCAAGCCCAAGGAGATGCTTTGTGGCGAGGTACTCTCCATAATGCCCTATGAGGGCTTCCTGTGTCTGAGCACAGCAGACTCCAGTCTCCCTGATCTGGAGAAAGGCGGGGTGGCTGCTCTGGAGGCTATGGACCCCTATCCAGAGCGCACAGGGAAGCCTTCCCACCCTGCACCTCAGTGCCATGGCGGGGAACTATGCAAACGGCTGAGGTTGAGGTGAACACTTCTAAGCCTGCAGAAGGTGCTCTAAATAGTGATGCAAGCTGCACTTCACACAGGATGGGTCTCTGTGCTACTCACCCACCACAGCTCCACCCCCCCCCCACATACCTTGCCCAGGGGAGAGCCTCCATTTGCTCTTCCTCCTCCCCAACAGAGGATCCCACCCCAGCTCCCACTGCTCACCTCAAGGGAAGAATTGCCTTCCCTGCTGGTCTCATTGTACAAACACTGGCTCTCCATACTGCAGAAGCAAGCCACAGTCTTGGGCTGGAGTATGGATGACAAGTTAGTCCTGGCATCTGTTGCTAGAATCTCCAGGGTACACTCTTCAAGTGTTGGCGTCCACTGCAAACTTCCGTTTTCTGTCCAGAGAAAGAAACCTCGATGGCTGGGAGAGTCGTCTGCTCTGTGGCCAGTGCATGCTGGCATCTAATGCCCTGCTTCCCCCACACCCCTAGTCCTCTCCCTGAATCCCGAGTGCCATCAGGCATCCTTTTGAGCAAAGATGCAATTCCTGCATGGTGACGGCAGTCATGCTCCAAGCTGGAGGGAGCCAGCACTTGCTGGGGTGCTGGGTGCTGGGTGTAGGTAGAAATCCACATAGGAGGAGGCTACCCCCGCCCCCCATGAAGAGCCTCTAAGTACATCTCTGCCTGAGCCTGTACCAAGATGGGTTATGCTGGGGAACAAAAGTGTCAGGATCCACTTCACACTTTCCAACTGCAGGCTGGAATGGCTTCATCTCCCAGCACCTCTTTTCTGCCTTCGCACCATCCTCTCCTCTGACTTCCCAGGCCTTGATGGCTACCTTATCAGATATCAGACTACAGGGAGTAAACAGCAGCTTGGAAGGAACAGAAGTAGGGATGGACAGAGTTAACTTCACCATCACTTTCCAGGAGAGGAGCCCAAGATGGAAGAAAGCTTTGTAATGCCATTGTGTGCCAAGGTAGTGCCATATGGAACAAAGGAGATGTAGACCAAGTGGCCCCTCCATACCCAGAGAGGCAAAATGAGACAGACTGCTGATCAGAGCCCAGAGAAAGGTCCCTGACGGCTTTGGTTTAGTGAAGAAAGTCGCCATCCCTTCTGCTTTGGCCCCAAGGTCACAGCTGCCAGCCTAGGTTCTTAGACACCCTTACGAAGATGAAAAGACATGCTGTGTTGATCCTAATCAAGAAAATAAGAGGAAAGAGAAAGGCAGAGAGGCATGGCTAATCACTGGAAAAACAATAAAAATTACCTACCAATGAGGGCATTTGTATTTCTTTGGTCATACTCCACAGTGTGTTATCCTTTTAGTAGATATGACAATGCTGCAAACTTATGGATTTTATTACATTTATTTATTTTGGGTATGTGTAGGAGCATGTATGCATGCCATAGCATTCATGTGGAAGTCAGAGAACAGCTTGCAAGAGTTGGTTCTTTTCCTTCCACCACATGGGTCCCAGGGATGGAAATTAGGTTATCAGGTTTAGTGGCAAGTGCTTTCACCTGCTGAGCCATCTCACCAGCCCTGTAAACTATTATTATTATTATTATTAGTTATTACTATTTGTTTTTTCCAGGAGACAGGATTTCTCTGTGTAGCCCTGGCTGTCCTGGAACTCACTCTGTAAGCCAAGCTGGCCTTGAACTTGGAGATCCACCTACCTCTGTCTCCCAAGTTCTGGGATTAAAGATGTTCACTACCACTGCCCAGCTAAGCTAGTATTTTTAATGGTCATACTTAGTTATTAAAATGATTTGGTAAATGCTCCATGATGGTTAAAAATGATGCATATAGCTGGGCATGGTAGTTCAGTCTTTAATCCTGAGAGGCAGAGGCAGGCAGATCTCAGTGAGTGAGTTTGAGGCCAGCCTGTTCCACACAGTGAGTTCCAGGACAGCCAGAGCTAGATAGTGAGACCCTGTCTCAAAACAAAACAGAACAGAAAAAAGCAAGCCTAAAATAACCTTTGCATTACCCATGTGTGTCCAGAGTCAGTCTACCTATTTACTTATATCTATCGAAATCCCTCACTGCTACTCACTTGGGGAGGGGGCCACCCATTTGAGCTACAGGTATTTTTTTTTTCAAATCTTAAGACTTGGTGTCATTCTGTATCCCAGGCTGGCCTTGGTCTCATGGCAATCCCCCTTCCTCTAGGATTACAGGCTTAGAGCTGCTATGGCCAGCTATAAGTACCAATCTTAAGAAATGCTGTTTCTCAGGGCCTGGAGAGATGGCTCCGTGGCTAAGAGCACATACTGCTCTTTCAGAGGACCCAGGTTGGATACCCAGCATCCTCTTCAGGTGGCTCACACTGTCTATAACTCCAGCTCCAAGAGGACCCAACACCTCTGGCAGGTTCCAGCACCTGAAAGCATGTGTACACACCCCATGCACATAGAAGCATAATTAAAATTAATAAAAAAAAAACAAATTTAAAAAATGCTGTTTCTCAAGCCAGATGTGGTGATACAATGTCCTTGTTCTAGCTTCATTTCTGAGGCTGCCCCCAAACACCTGGAACAAAAGCAGTTTAGGGGAGGAAGCTGTATTGAGCTTACAATGCCAGGTTAAAGTCCATCACGGAAGGGAAGTCAGCTAATTGTCACATCCAGTCAAGAGCAGAAAGAAATTAATGTAACCATGCTGCCTGCCGTTTGCTTGGCAGCTTCCGCTCAGCGAGTTTTCTTCATTCTTAAACAGTTCAAGGCTCAGGCCATGAAATGGTGCCTCCCATATTCGGGGTGGGTTGTGTCACCATAACTGACAATCAAAACATGCCCACAGACCAGCCTGATCTAGATAATTCCTTCAGTGAGACTCCCTTTTCAGGTAATTCCAGGTTATGGCAAGCTGACATTGAAAACCAGCATCACACTGCGCAGAGGACAAGGCAGAAGAAACAGGAGTTTGTTGTCTGAGTTACATAGGAAGTTTCAGGCCAGCTTGGGCTATTGTGGTAAGAGCTTGTTTCAGAGAGAGAGAGAGGGAGTAGGGGTGGGAGAGGGAGAGAGAGAAACAAGATGAAGACAGGAGGGGAAAGAAGGGAAAATGTTTGTTGGTCCTGGTCATTCAAATGAAAAAAAAAAAAAAGTACTGGACGCAATGAAGGAATACAAGAAAACCCAAGCTGGCTCAGCCTCTTCTGCCTCGGCCCCATGCTGTCGCCAGCCACGATTCTTACCAAGGAGTTTAAAGCCACTACACTGGTTGATAAGGTTGAATGTGACATCCTTAGAGTTGCTGGTGATCTCAATGGTCTCTGTCCGCCCCTTATAGGCTCGGATCTCGCTGCAGCAGTTGACCGAGGGCGGGTACTGATCTGAAACCGAGAAACATGGCAGAGACAATCGAGGCACAGGACACCCTCCAGCCTTCCATCTCTGCTCTCTCTCCGCATGACTTCCTACAAATCCTTCCCAAGCCTGGGGCCACCTCCTGGAGCAGGGCCCAGTCTTCCTTCCTGCTCTGCAAACTTTAGATCCCTTTTCCAATCTCCTCAAACCGGATCATTTCTTCCCTTAACAGAGTGCCACGCTGGGCCTTGAGAACAGACGGTCAGTTTTACCCCTGGGAAGAGCTGAAAGCCATGAAGGTGATCTATAGGTGGACATTCCATTTTCAAACGCTCCCAATGCTGTTTCTTGGAAGCCTATTATTTCCAATCCATTGCTTATTAATTCATTCCGTTAATAGATTTATCGAGCGCATGGTACTTGTTCGGCACTAATCTCTATAGCAATGACCAAGCGATGGAAAGAGAGTCATAAATTATAAAACGCACTAGGTATGGTTTTATAATTTATAAACATGCTAAAGAAAAAACTCAGGGCAAGGAGTGTGAATAAGCATGAAACATGAGACAAGGTGGCCCAGAGGGCCTTGCTAAGTAGGCGGAGTCAAATGATGAGAGAGAACATGCCTGCCTGCCTGCCTGCCTGTGGAGAGAGGCTTGCCGGCCAGAGAAAGGCATGAGCAAAGTTACCAGTGAGCTCAAAGAAGCCAGTGGGGCAGAGGGAGAGGAAGGAGAAGGAGTATCAGTAAAGGGGTTCTGGGAGGTGGAGGAGACAGCCTGCTTTGGGCAGTGAAGGGAAGGCTGTCATCTGTCTGTCCATCAGGGGCCCTGAGTGAGCTGGGAGGCGTCGGAGGGTTTTAATCCATTAAAGGAATAAAAATGCGGCACTTGAAGGAGTGTCATGAAATTGGGTCCCCGCCTGCTCCCTGTCCCCAGGGAGGCCTCTCTCGGCCTCCTGTCACTTACTGAGGGTGCCATTCACATGCTGGAATGTTTTAAGGATCGTGTTGGTGTTCTGTCCTGTGGTTGCATTTCCTGTAGCCAGGGCATCAAACATGCATTGTGCGTCTCCCCTGCACCCCGAGATCACGTTTTCGGCTGAGGTGTTCAACAGTTGTGACAAGAAGATGGGGGTGAAGTTGGAAGGCAGAGGGTCTGTCCTCATCCCGAGGAGGCCTGTCCCATTGATTTGCCCTGTAACACACACAGGAGGTATAACGATGGTATGAGACCCCAGCCGTATTTCAGCTATGCCCGCCCGCCCCTAATCCTCATCGGATACGGCTTGACGGGTTAGGGGGCGTCGTTGGAGCTGGTAAGGATGAGAAGGCTTCTGGCTTCTGACTCTGGAACTCCCTGCTTCGTGAGTGAAGGTCACCCGCTCCCCTCCCCACTTCCCACAAGAGACACACAGGTGTGGTGGAAGCAGGGAACAAACATGAGCAGTGGCAAGATCTTTGGACCTTCCCATGGATGAATAAGGTCCCCACAAGCACACGGGAGACAATACAGCAGCTCCCTCACTGATCTGCCTGCCCCGGTGGCCTGAGAACCCCCAGACTCACATGTCATTCCATAGTGAAAAATGGTCTCCTCAGAGCTGTTTCGGGGGATGGTGGAGCCATTGGGCGTCCTGAAGTCATCTTCTGGATCGTCATTCCAGACTCCTGTGGGAAAGAGCAGGAGGCTCAGCACCTCAGAAAGGTGGCGGCCCTTTTCCACGGAGCATCAGAAAAGATAGCCACATCTGGCCCACGTCCAGGGCCCCGCCCAGGAGGTGGGAGGGGACCATGCACTCACACTCCACCTTTGTGCTTTAAAGGGGGAGAAGAAAGCCAAGAAGTGGGGACAGATGGGAGGAAGAAAGACGGCAAGGGTAAAAAAGGAAATACAAGTGTGGAGGGAGGGAGACGGCACCAGGCCCCGCCTTCCTCATGGAACCCCCTTCACATTCCCTTGAAAAGATGGCAGACCCTAAACACTGGGTGCAGCAACCCCTCTCTGAGCCCTAGGAGGCTGAGGAAGAACCGGACAGGGAAGTTCAAGGCTCACAGGACAGACAGCTGCCAGTGTACAGTCTGAGCTCCACTCCTTACCCAAGAGTCCCTTCGTGTGGTTGTGGTACTCCTCTGGAAGACTGGTGGAGGCATGGAGGATGTTGGAGAGAGCAATCACAGAGATGGTCACTGTCCCATCAAAGCTGGCGGAGACCTGGGAGCCATTTTGAGTCAGGAGGATCCCAGTGGTATTGAACATTGGCAAGCCTGGAAGATAGAGAGACAAGTGACACCACAGCTATCATGCCTCTTGGATCAATGACTTAGCAGCAATGAAGGCTCATAGCACAGAGGGCACTGGGGGATCCGACCATGCCACAACTAAAGGCCCCACGCTACCCAGCCCAGCCTCTAGTCACCTCCTTCTGGGGTGTGAAATGAGGAGAGTTCAATGCCCAGGCTGAGTGAAGGTCTGGGGGTGGGGTGCTGTTGGCTAACATTCTGTTTTGCTGGGGCTGAGATCCTGCTGAAACCAAAGGATGTGTAGCGGGGGCGAGTGTGGACAGCTCCAGAGCCTACCTTCATCCCCTTCATCTGTCTGGCTGGTGTTAAAGGCTACCGTCTGGTTATTGTGCAGAACTCGGATTGTGTCATTGGGTTCCAGGAACCACTGAACCTGGAAAGGAATTGAAGGAAGCCTAAGCCCAACACCAGCAGGCAGGGCAGAGGCCTGGAAATGACGCTCTGGGGAGCAACTCAAGGCTAAAATCTGGGCCAGTGGAAGAGGTGGGTGATGGACAGGGCAAGCGATAAGGCTATGCCAACTGACACATGTGGAGATCTCAGTGGGAACCAGGCTGTCTCACAGCAACCCTGAGGAGCAGACAACACCATTGTCCTCATTGTGCTATTAGAAAACAGTGACATTGTAAATTCAGTAATTTTGTCAAGGTCCAACAGCCAGTAAGAGGTGGCACATATCATAATCCCGCCATCTTAGATTTTACTCTTCTCTCTCCACAATAGTTGTGTACTCCCCTCTTGTTCCAGGATATAGGATAGCCAGAGAAACACATCACTGGGTCTGTCTTTGTGAGTGTTTCCTGAAATCTTTAACTGAGAAAGGCAGATCAACTCCAAATGTAGACAGAATCAATGCATGGATTGGGGTCCATACTGAATAAGAAGAGGCGAGCTGAGCGCATCTCTGACTGCAGACACAATATGTCTCCAGCGTCCTTGCACACTCCTGGCGCCATGCCATGATGGACTGACTTCACCTACAAACTGTGAGCCAAAATAAACCCTTTGTCCTGGTTTGGATTGCTATTTTTGTGATGAAAAATCATGACCAAAGCAAGTTGGGAGGAAAAGGGTTTATTTGGCTTACTCTTCCTCATCATTGTTCATCACTGAAGGAAGTCAGGAAAGAAAAATCAAACATGGCAGGAATCTGGAGGCAGGAGCTGAGGCAGAGGCCATGGAGGGATGCTGCTTACTGACTTGCTCCTCATGGCTTGCTCAGTCTGCTTTCTTATAGAACCCAGGACCAGCAGCCCAGGGATGGCCCCACCCACAATGGCCGTCCCACATCAATCACTAAGAAATGCCCTGCAGGCTTGCCTACAGCTCAATCTTATGGAGGCATTTTCTTTAGCTGAGTTTTCCTCCTCTCAGATGACTCTGGCTGTGTCAAGTTGACATAAAACTATCCAGTGCACCCTCTCTTTCTTAAGCTGCTCCTTGTCAGGTACTTGGACACAACAGTGAGGAAATTGAAAATAAGCATCTCCTTTCTTTATTCTCTTCCTTTTCCGGAGCTGACGGGCTCCGAGGGACTCTGGGGAAAGGAATGCAAGGACACGCTGGATCCCCCCTCACTTACTGTGTGAAAATAAGCATCTCCTTTCTTTATTCTCTTCCTTTTCCAGAGCTGACGGGCTCCGAGGGACTCTGGGGAAAGGAATGCAAGGACACGCTGGATCCCCCCTCACTTACTGTGATGGGAGAAGCCAAGCTGTTGGTGTTGTATTGAGCAGCAAAGGCAATGAAGTTAGTGGCCTTGGCAGAGCCAGTCTGGGCAGTGCGGCCCTCCAGCAGGAAGGAGGAATTTGTGTCCTGGGCCTGGACCAGCAGAAAGTCTCCCAGCCCATTGAAGGTGTAAGTAGCATTATCCAGAGTGGTGATGTGGGGATCGCCAAATGTCCAAGCTAAAAGAAAGGAAGTTACACATTAGCATATCGGGGCCATGGTCTGAGACTCTCACTGCCCAGCAGGTAGGGCCTCTGTCTTGGTGGACTCAAGCTTGGGCAAATTCTCCTGGCACCCAGAACCTGCCCAAAAGGCTTCTTGTATGTGTCGTCCCTGGCCTGTTCTTACCCCTTTGCCAATGCCATATACAAAGTCCTTCTGTTTGCTGTTAGCCTCACAAGACTTGTCCCCATCATCCCTGCAGCCACAAGTCTGCCCTAGGAAGCTGATCTTGTGCTAATCCAAGCTCCCTTGCTACAATTCCACCTCAGCCATGACGCTTACCGGGCCGTAGGGGCCTGTATCGAGCACAACTAACGCGGGGCCGCACGCGATAGTACTGGGCACAGAAGGAGGGCTTGTCGTTCCAGTGGCAGCACCATTTCTGTGCCTCCTGCTCCTGTTCTGTGGAGAAGAACAGTTTGTCAGAGGGCAAGCGCCCTGGAGAACCAGCTGGCAGGTTTGGTAGAGTATGGTGGAAGCAGTGGCCCTGGAGTCAGGCATGGCACAGTTCACACCTTTCCATGCTCAATGACTGTTAGTGATCTGTGATGGGATGACACTGTGTGTCCTCCTTGAAGGCATATTGGGGTTATTGCATAGCAGGCACATGGTACACACCCTCAGAGAGCCAGGGGAAGAGAGGATGTAGATGATGGTGTAAAGAGACCAGAGCAGGCCCAAGGGTGAGCAGACCCAAGCTACCCTGCCCTATTCATCTCCTTGCACTCTAACTCCTTTGGAAGGTCTCTACTGGGCTGATTCTAAGTCTTCATCCTGTTAAGATGGGTTGGGATCTTCAAGGAGACACATACCAAATTGCCAAGGATTATGCATTCTCCAGCCTTCTCGAAACTCTCCCCAGCGACCATAGCTGCAGCACACACCACCTCGCCAGGAGGAGAAGCTGCATAGCTGCCTGCTACCGCCGTTCCACCAACCTACGATGAGACCAGACAGACATCCTCAGGCCCAGGAGCTTATTGAAATGGATGGGGGAGGGGGCGTTGCACTTGGCCATGGGATGCTCAAGTGCCTGGGAAAAGGGGAGGATAGGTGTGAACAGAAGTGATGGCCAGTGGGGCTTGTGAAGGGTAGGAAAGACAGGAAAGGGGTATCACCTGTGTTCATGCGCCAGAATCGAAAGTCCCATAGTCCCTGCTGCCAGGAGCAAGGGCAGGAAAGCTGGCTCCAGCCCCAGCTCCATCTGGGACTCTGAAGTTGGTTGTTCAGCCACCATAGACACTTGAGTCTGTAGTTGGGCCTCACCTCTTTGTGTAGCTTGTAGACCTGCACCCCCCGGATGCCTGAGAAACAAAGAAATCTGTGATTATCGCAGAACACCGTGAGCTCAGCTTCAGCTTCAGGCTCAACACAAACTCGTGACTGCATCCTCCGTTCTATGCTCTGCCTCCCTGGACAGCTTTTCATAGGAAGGGACCCAGTTCAGATTGGCAATGATTTATCTCCAAACTACCCTGAACATAAGCTCCAAACATTTCAAATCTTGGGCTTTAGGGCAAAACTGTGGGACAAGTGCTGGGCAGGGAGTCATCACTGTGATCCAGCTGGACCTACCTACGTTCCCTCCTTTCTTCCCCTCGTTCATTCCCTCTCCCTCCCTCCATCCCTCTCTCTCTCTTTCTCTCTGCCATGCCTTCCAATCCTTAAACCACTTCACTTGTGCCTCTAGAGACACACTATCCACCCATCATGACATCAGGCCCTCAGTCTTCATGACGCATCCTTCCTTTCCCTTTCAGTGGCCAAAGCAAGCAGGACAGAGGTAGGTTCCTGTCCAGAGACTAGATGGAAGCCACATAGAAGTTGGCATGCTAGTGGGGCCTTGCTCTTACACTGAGAGTCTGGGGAAACGGCGTTTGGTCCCAGACACCATCTTGGGAAGGGAGAAGTCACTAGAAAAATCCCCAATGGGCTTGGAAAGTTTAAACCTTCAATTCCTTGGAAGTTTCATACCACACACACAACTTCAGGGAGAGAAGAAGACTCCAGAGCTCTGGACATAATACGATTTAGTGTATGAGATGTTCAACCCTATATCCACCTGAATTAAGAAACTGACAGTTTTCAGAAGAATAACATAGTTTATAATTATATGTTATACGCAAGTACACACAAACATGCACACTTGTATGCACGCACACAGGCCATACACACATATGCACAGGCACATGCATGAGCACATACACACACACACACACACACATACACACACACACACATACACACACACACACACGCACGCACGCACGCACGCACGCACACACACACACACACACACACACACACACACACGCACGCACACCATGAGACACTCTAAATCACAAGCAGATATGTTTGACAGAGGGCCCTGATGCGATAGGGAAGCTCTTCCTCGGGGTGGCACTCACCTGTCATTTGACTTCTCTCACGTTTCTGATGCCAAACATCTTTGTCCCAGACCAAACAGACCTAGACTCATGCATCAAGATCTACATGGCTGACCTCTCCACAATGCTAGTGAGCCCTTTTCTCCATCACATTCTGGAAGGTAGCATTTCTTTCCCTTTGGAGCATCTGTCTATTACACTAAGTCATAGAGGACGAGCCTCAGTTTGCCTCCGGACACTAGGGTCTCTACCACAGTGAATGTTTGTTGGGGTCAACATGGTTGACCTTTCTACGCTGTCCTTTCATTTTCTGTCTGTTAACCTACTGTCTGGCATGTAATAGCTGCTCAATAATGTCAGCTGAGTAAATGTCTGCCTTTTGGAACTCCTCCTGGTCGATCTCCTTAAGGATTTCATTCTAGCTGTGGAATGGGACATTTAGATGGTCGTCCTAACTCCCTTCCTGTCATACCCTTGTCCTCACTCCAGAACCTGAGTGCTCACTGACAGGCATCCTGGGTTTGGCTCTCTCAATGAAGGAGACTTACAGGGGCTGGGGGTGTGATAAGAAGTCGTTGCTAGGCAGTGCCAGCTGCTGATGCACCTGTTGGTAGTCTGTAGCCTGTGAAGGATGCTCTCTGAGGTGGTGGAGAGGCTACAACTGTCTAAGACTGCCATGGCATATGGAGTAGAGGGCAATGGAAGACTAAAGCCAGCTCATATGTAGTGGGTGTCCCTTTTACCTAATTTGGAATTCAGGAATCGATCTGGACGGTACTTCTCCGTTGCTGGCCGGAATGTCAGCGGGCTGTTTTCAAAATACCCATCTCCACTGCAGGCAAAGGGAAAGACTCTCAGGCCTCTGTGTCACACTCAGACTCTCTGCTCTCAGTTGCAAGCTGCTCATTCATTTAGTTTGTTATTTACTCCAGCTAGCCCCCACTCAGCAGCTGGTAGCCCATAACTCAGTCAGGTGGTCTGGCAGATCGAGCCACAAGTCCCAGTACTGAAGAGGAAGTGAAGATGGGTGGGGGTGGGGAGTGTCTTGTTTTTCCCACATTTGATTAATGATAGTGAGAAATAGGCCATTGATTCATGGTTATTCAACATGTCTGACTCGGAGGTTTTATACCTGGGTGAAAGAGATGTTGGTCATAGCCACCTCACAGCATTGTAAAGATTTAATGCAGTGACATCTGCAAATCCCTCAGATCTGAGTGGAGACCAGATTCAAGGTCCTGCCTCCATCATCAGTGTGGATCTAGGAATAAAGGAAGTCCACAGCAGCAGCCACGGTGCTACTGCAGGAACACGCCCACAGAAAGTGCCACTACAGGAGCATGACCACAGAAAGTGACTCCTGATCCTTGCTCTATTGTCATGCAGACTAGAGGATGCATACCAGCATGACATCTCTGTTGGGTACACTGCAGATGGTGTGAAATTGCTAGCTACCTGGATAATTATATGCTTTCCTCCTTCATTGTACATCAAAAGCCAGGCAAAGCCATGTGGTTGGAGAGCAGCCTGAACACACCCTAATGGAATAGAAAACCATCTGTGGCAATTACTGGTAACACATGAAGCATGACCATCAAAACTGATTACCACACAAGCAGGTGGTTGGGAGCTGTTGCCTCAGAGACTGCGGCTCTTTCATGTGCAGGAGCTCACACTGTAGCCAGCCACAGTTGTTCCCCTCACTTCCTTCTCCAGCTAAGCTGTAGAGTGCCAGAAATCACAAACTCCAATCTTGGATGTCTGTGTTCAGATGCCTGCTTTGCCACTTTGAAAGTCTGACTTTGGGCAAATTACTCATCTGCTTGAGCCTAAGTTCTCTTAACCTAAGATAAGTGTTCAGCTATCGTGGGTGGCTATGATTACAAGATAGATAGATAGATAGATAGATAGATAGATAGATAGATAGATAGATAGATAGATAGGCAGACAGATAGATAAAGTATATGAAGCAATAGGTGTAATGAGCAGCTGCTATTTGAAAAAGTCAGCTAATGTCAGTGGAATCTAAGAAGGTCAAAGGTTGAAGGCTCCAGTGCAGTGGGATAGGAACGATGACAGGATGAAGGCTGAGGGCGGGGCTTTGCACCAGGAACAGCTGCATCTTCAAGGATGGGATGGGAGCGTGGCCAGGAAGCCCTCATCTCACACAGTTCAGTGCTGACAGCCAGCTGATGCTGTCCTACCTGGAGAAGCCCATGAGGACTTGGTTGCCCAGACCCTGGATCACATTCCACTTCATCCCACCGCTCTGGTAGAGAAACAGGGCATAGGAACTGCTCCCGTCTGTGGAGAGGATGGCTTGGTAGGTATTGGTCTGGAAGTTGGTGAGAGACAAATAGAGACATCTATGAGAGGTCTGAGGTTTCCTCCCTGGTGTCCCTACACCCCTGATCAGCCACAGGCTTATCACATGTCCCAGGTCCACCCAGGCTGGACACACTGGCAAGTTTGCTGTGGTCAGAGCATCACTTATCTTAGGTGTAGAAGCACTTTAGAGTGGCCAATTTTCCTCTTTTTTTGGGGTGGGAGGAAATAAAGGGCTCTGGGTTGCAATCCAGTTAGAAGATGGTTTTAAAGAGAGAACTACGGAAAGCTGAGAGGTCAGACAAGATGTCAGAGCCAAGACAGGCCTCAGGGATATGGGAGGACACTGTCCAGGTGTCCCCTCCACTTGTGTGGTATGGAGGACCTGTCCATGGTAGGTAGCCAGTGAGCTGTTTGTTGAGTGCCATGTGCCGATATTTCACTATAGTAAAGGGAAGCTGACTTTGTAAATCTTACCAAGTTGTCAATCCACAGACATTCTTGCCTATGAATACAGTCAAGGTTTCTGACTTGAGGCAGGCTGGCCCAAGCTCTCAGGAGAACTATAACCAGCAATCTTTCCTCCGGTCATGGACAGCTCCCTAGCAGCCTCATGGGATGTCTGGGTCCACTCACCCCATAGCTCCACTGGGCAGGATAGGCAGGAACATTGACCCAAGTGACTTTCAGTGTCCACTTGGCTTTGTAGCTCCAGTCACCTGTGAACTCCTGAATCAAAGTCTCTACCTCCCGGACTGGCCCAATATTTTCACCATAAAGTGTGTTGTATTGCTAGAAAAGGAAGGCAGGCAACAGCAAGGAAATTAGAGTCCTGTTCGATGCCCATATGGCAGTGGTTCTCAGCCTGTGGGTCGGGATGCTCTTGGGGGGGGTCCAATGACCCTTTCAAAGGGGTAGCATATCAGACACCCTGCACGTCAGGTATTTACCTTATAGTTCATAACAGTAGCAAAATTACAGTTATGAAGTAGCAACGGAAATAATTTTATGGTTGGGGTCACTACAACATGAGGAGCTGTATTAAAGGGTCTTAGTATTAGGAAGGGTGAGAACCACCTCTCTAAAGGGGTCCCTGCCTCCTGCTTGGGGATGCTGTTCACTTCTGTGCTGGCTGCTTGTACATCTTTCCCCAAGTCTGAATTTTCACAAGTTCCTTTGACTTTAAGATCAATTTAAGTTTAGGCTGCAGGAAAATCTGGGGCATGTGAACTGGAAGGTCTCCTCCTAAAAAGCTAAACCTTCTAGAATTGAACAGATGCATCTCGTAGCTCAAATTGACTTGGATGATATGACCGTGTGTGCCAAGCTTTACATTTCTGTGTCTAGTTTATAACTCCCTAAGGCCAGGTATGTGTCTTTCCATCTTTGGAACCTGGGTAGCTCCTAGTCAATGGCAGGTACACAGAACACATTGGCTGTGACAGCCAACGTGGTGTACTTTGACAGGCTGGCATTATTAACTTAATTCAGAAGTGGGGGTCTGTTTAACTCAGACTTGTTAAGACAGACCTTCTACACCTTTATTTAAAATCAAATGCTCAACTGCCAACCTCTATCCCTGTCACCTGCAGGCCTTCGCATGGTTGGAGTAGGGTGTGCCAGGGTCTATTTAGCATTCTTTCTTGGCTTCTCCCCTACCCCATATTTAAGCTTCAGTCCCTTCCCACACAAGTCTAGGCTGTGATTCAACATCCTTGAAGTGCCCTTGATCTCTCCAGGCAGAATGCTACAACTTCCAACTGTCAAGGCCTTGAATGACCCACCTGGTAAAATATGGTTCCCCTGGAACTAGAGAAGTCAGCATCACCCCAGAACGGGGCCACCATGGCTACATGTTCTTTTCCTGTGAAGCCACTTTGAGGCGGGTTGGGGTAGGAGAAGATGCTGTAGTCTGACTCTGGGAAAATGATCTGGCCGTTGTCTGTGAACTGAGCACAGGGTTCTTGGTTAGGGAGGATTGAGGGAAGAGCTATCCTGTCCAGGGCCAGCTCCTCAGAAGCATGGCCCCGGACAACCTATCTGTGCAGAGAATGAGAGGTGTTAGCCTTGACGGTCCCCTCATCCACTCCTCACCTTCTAGGAGAACTCTTTATCCAGGAACCTTACAAATACTCATCCCTATCAGGACATCCTCATATCAGTCCAAAGCAGTAGACTGTGTCCTGCCTTCATGGAGTAGTAGCCCAGCCTTCATCAGCACAAAGCCTTCTTGGTAAAGCCTTGCCCTTGAAGCTTGTGACATATCAGATGAGGATAAAAGAGTCAACGCCCTCCCTCCCGTTACTGCCTTGGGCTCTCATTGGGTGTTTCTACTCCTCTCCCTGAGAGCAAGAAGAGCCAGATCACCATTTCCAGGGAATCAGGAAGTAATCACAAGAAATGGAAAGGTATGAGCCGATCAAGTTTCCAAGCATAGCTTCTTCCTCATAAAAACTATGTGAACCTGTCATGGTCTCTTTACTAGGATAAGGATGTTTTTATCCCCATGGGCAGGGAGGCATGGCTTCATTAAACATTCCACAACTAGAAACTGACACAAGAGAAGGCTACCAAGCTGCTGTACAACAAAGGTGACTTCCACTCTTCCTTCTGCTCAGCCATGGGCCATCTCCAAGCTGGGCAGAGAAACAGAGCTCAGAGAACACAGGCCACAGACTTAACACAAGGGCTTCAGTCAGAGACTCACGTAGAAGGAATCCCGCAGAGAGGAGCCAAGTGGAAAGCCAATCTGGAGCTTGAAGAGGCGGGAGGTAAAATCCACAGTCCTGGCAAAAAACTGATGGTCTCCAACTTGAGGGCTTGTCCCGTAGGGGAAGAGGGAAATGCCTAGTCCAGGACAGAGGAGAGAACAACACCCTTGTGGGCCTTAACCTTCTTTCAGGTTCAGAAGGGTTCTGAGCGAGCTCTCCCTAATCTGCCCCTCACCCTGTTCCCTCTTCCTAAGAGGCCCCGTAGGCTCTGGCTCTGTGCTCTGCCGCTACACATGTATCTAACACATATCCTTGTTTATTTCTCAGCTGGTACCCACATCATTCCTCGGGTTAGAGCATCCTGACCCTACAGTCCTGCCATTAGGGAATCCATTGTAGGCTCTGATCAGGAAGTCAGAACTGCCCAAGGATGAAAAGACGAAACTCTGAGACAACAAAGACTTAAAGACCTTTTCATAAAAGGGCACTTGTTTCCTAAAATGGTATTTGTCCAGATAAATTTGAAGACACCCGCCCCTTCCAGAATTGCCCTAGGCCACCATAAATGTCCTTGGATTCCAGTTTGTGAAACCTTGTCCTAAGTGTTTTCCAAGTGGCTCTCACGCTATACCATAGCATCAACTCACTAGGGACCTAGCATGGCCTTGATTCCTGGCAATTGCAGACACTTCGAACTCCCACCCCACTCAACACAAGGACTATCTTTTCACTCCTATGGCTTTATTCTTGCTGCTCAGACCATCCAACCTTTCTGGGTGCTTTCCCTTCCTCAGCTCTTTTCCAGAAGCCTCCTGTTCACCTTGATGGTATTCCCACATCCCTTCAGGCTTGTGAGTGCTTGTACTTAGTATCTGGGTCTTTCATCTATAGAACAGTCGAACAGTACCTTGACCAATCCCCTATCTCTATCTCCCAGCCCAGTGCGATGCACACAATGGCCCTCAGCACCCAGTTTTAGTGCTGTCTCATTGTTCCCTGGAATCTCTGATCTCACAGAGCACAGACTCTAAGCAAGCAGGCCCTGTACAGTCAGTCATCGTCCCTCTAGAGGGAACACAGGGGAAAGGTGGCTTATTTGTGACCTGGATGGGACAGAGCAGAAACGCAAAGGACTGGATCCCTCAGCTACACAAAGGACTTACATTAGCAAATCCAGTCCAGCAATCAGAGCTACAACCTTGACATCCGGCTCAGCTAGAAAGCAGGGAGGGACTACCTTATTGGCATCACTCACCCTGCTCTGGTAAAATAGGGAGTGAGGAGACTGTTGACTTGGAAGCTGTGGTTGTGCTGGGAGTGGTAAGGGTCAAGGAGGTAACAGAGAGTGATGTGCCTCTGCCACTGTCTGTCTTCAGGGAGCTTGTGGTCATTCCTGGAAACAGAGGGAGAGAAGACAAAAGTAGCTTTTACATCAGAGAAATCGAGAGTCATGGAAAATGAGGGGCCTCAAAAGACAACCAAAATGTTTGTCTATATAATGGTCGATAGTGCCTCCATATATAAGCACCGCAGGACAGACAGGATGGAGGGCTAGTCATCATTCATGGCCCAGAACCACCCTTCCACCCTTGCCTGTAAAGCCAGATAGCTGAGGAGGAAGTCCCACCAGAGGGGATGGCTGTCACATTGGGTCCAGTGGAAGCAGATGAATGGTTTTGTGTGGTCATCTCTGTGAGGATGCTGGTTTGAGATGTGCTGGAGGTGGCCATGCTTGCACTGGGGTGACTCTGAGAATATGTAGATGATGGTTGAGTAGAGGAGCTGTCCACTAGGATGGTTGATTGTCCAGCTGAAGTGGAGTCTCTTGATGTGACAACACTGATGTTTCCTGTTACATATGTAGGTGTGTGTCCCGTGTTTGCTAAGGTGGAGTACGTAGTATTGAATATGTCTGATGTAGTTGGAGGTGGGTAACTCATGCTGGAAGAAGATGGGGTAGTTGTTTCTCTGGAGGAGGATGTACCCCAAGACACTGTCTGTGACTGAGAGGGTCCAATTGCGGGGGATGAATGAGTTGGTGTGGTGACCAATGTGAGGCTCGTTTGAGGGGTGCTGCTGGTCAGCATGCTTTCACTTTGGTGGTTCTGAGAAGATGTTGACGATTCCTGAGTGGAGCTGATAGGTGTTGACACTGTTGAGAGTTTCTGTGATGAGGACGTCATTGAGACTTCTGTGGCCGTTGAGCTTTGGATAATGCCTGGACTTGTGCTTCCAAGAGCAGAATCCATAGAGGTGCTTAGTGTGAGCACTGTGGACAGTTCCTGTGCTGAGGTTGTCTTTGAGACCTCAGTGGTGACTGGTGCTGAGCTTTGGGTAAGTATTGCAGTTGTATGCCCTGTATTCTCTGAGGTGGATGGTGTAGAAGGTGTGCTTGAAGGTGAGCTCCTCATGGTGTGAGCATTTGGGGTGGTTGTTTCTGTTTGTGACACAGTGGGTTCACTTGGGGAGGGTGAAGGAGTTGATGTGGTCACCTCTGTGAGGGAGGTTTGAGGTGTGCTCTTGGTCTCCATGCTTTCACTCTGGTGGTTCTGAGAAGATGTTAACCATTCCTGAATAGAGGTGCTTAAAGAGGAAGAACTTTGAGAAACTGTTGGAGATGGGTGCCCTGTATTTGCTGAGGTGGAATCTGTAGAGGGTGCCGTGGTTTCCTCTTCTGATGTGGCTGGGGATGTGTTGCTGACACTGGAAGAGGATGGATTGGTTGTTTCAACTGGAGATGATGTCACTTGGGACACTGTCTGTGCTGGAGTTGAACCACTTGGGGAGACTGAAGGAGTTGATGTGGTCACCTCTGTGAGAGTGATTTGAGGTGTGCTCTTAGTTTCCATGCTTTCACTGTGGTGGTTCTGAGAAGATGTTGACAAATCCTGAGTAGAGGTGGTGGGTGTTGTCACTGTTGGCAGGACAGATGGCGAATTTGTCACTGGGACTCCAGTAGTTATAGAGGAAGAACTTTGAGAAACTGTTGGAGATGGGTGCCCTGTATTTGCTGAGGTGGAATCTGTAGAGGGTGCCGTGGTTTCCTCTTCTGATGTGGCTGGGGATGTGTTGCTGACACTGGAAGAGGAT